AAACAAGCAATGATTCAAGGCAAAATAACAATCGAAAAAAAAAAAATAGATTGTGTTCAAGGTTCGCCAGCATTCCGGTGGCGCTTAATTGCGAACATGCCAGTCCTGTCACTATAGAAAGATGACCCCGTCTTCCATTTTTACGAGCGGTTAAAAACATTCAAAACGTAAAGAACAAAGTACGTGGACTATGAAAGTTCAGTTTTTATTATTTTCTATGCCGGGCAGCTTTTCTTAGGCCCTTTTCCTCAAAGATTTTGAGCGTGAGAGTGATGTTTTGAATGTGGAACAAGCATTCGCAGAGCAGAAAGACTAAATCAGTACATGCTTATTGATAATCGAACTATATTGCGTGGCCTTCAATTTATTTTAATCGTCTGCGTGAACGAGGAGTTACTGATCCGGTGTTACAGCGTAGTTCTTGCCGTCTCTGTCAGTTTTTCAGATGGCCTTCGTTCGTTGGGCACTTACATCTCCCAAGCCAACGGCGTAGACTTTCCATTTCCCCGGGGGGGGGGGGGGGGGGGGGGGGGAGATGGAAGCTAACAAAAGCACGCTGGGATTCCATTTCCCAAGTATTTCGTCAATAAAGGCAACGTGGGCATTATTTTGTTTACATGCCACCACTAGAAGCTCGTTATATGGCACGTAAACAGTGTCTCGGTAAGGATCATGGCCCGGGCCCGGAGGGGGGGCCCTGCCCCTTCTCCCCCTGAATCTCACCAGGGGGGGGGGGGGGGGGGGGGGCACAAACCCCGATGACCCCCCCCAAAGTCTACGCCTACGTCCCAAGCTGAAAAGCGCCGACGTCGTGTTCGCGCTAACCGTGTCCGTCAGTGCACATAAATACAGGTACGAAGCCGTTTGAGCGCCGTTTTTAATGCAATCAATTGGCAAGAGAGACACCGGAACTGACCAATTCTTTCGTCTGCCTGACTGAGAAATGTTCCAAGCTACCTTGTACGTACGAATTATTCGGGATATTTGCTCCTATAATCGAGCGCAAGGAGAAAATACACAAACTTTTTCTCATAGAAATGCATTTCCGGAAGTCGATTTTTCACTGGCTGCTGTCTGCTTCAATTGGCCGCAGCACACTAGCGTCACTGAAACCTCTAGCGTACATTATAATTACTCCATGACGCAGACGCTGCACGTCACTCGCAAGCTCGTCTGCTGCTTTTGCACGGGTTGTGGTGACGTCAGAAAGATGCCGAGCTCTGATTGGCTCCGATTGAAGGATAGTGGGTAGATCTCAAAGCAAGCCGCCTTGACGTCTACCCACTATCCTTCCAATCGGAGCCAATCAGAGTTTTGCATGGGTTGTGGTAACGTCAAAACGCCAAAGAAGCAGACGAGCTTGCTTTCCGCATGGCTTCATGCGCACGTTGCAGTGCCCACACCTGTAGTGGGCAAACGCGGGTTTGTTCGCAAACAGCGCGTACGCCCACGAAGAAGGTTCTCGTTTCCGGCCAACGAGGCGGCCCACTTCTTCGTCCCCGTAATTAGGCTGTCGGAAGAGAAAAACGCATTAAACCCGGAAGGATATACGGCGCAGTTTGCGTAATTTTTCATGCGCGCCGTTGTTGGAGGTGTTTCGCCCGCTCGGCAGAGGCGTTTTCTAAATACGGGTGATCGAATGTTTTGAACGAAGAAAATTAAACGACACGGCGTCTTCCCTGAGTGAACTGAATCCGAAATACTTGAAATAAGTATAAAAAAAATTAGCTCTTTATACATCACGTTTAACTGACCTCCGCTATTTTCTCACAACGGTGCTGGTAGATGCTGCGTTTGTTTCATGAAAATTTTCATCCTGCGCGTTTATTTGCAGCATGTGCATTAATAAACTTGTACAAATAATTGAACATGTTCACGAACCTGCTGGGATAGCCCGCATGCCTGTTCATTTCTTGCAGATAGATTCCACCGCTTACCGTCTTCTACTGCGCAGTCCGTTGTTCATCAGCGCTGACTGCGTAAAATAAATCAAAACTCAGCGACACCTTGTTTAGCATCCGCCGTGTAATACCAACCGCTCTTTACCTGCATATTTATATGGTCGAATTGATATTCAGTGCTGCGCTGTTACGCGTATATACTGCAGGGTGACCCCCACAAAAATATTATAGATTTTAGTTTTGTTTTTTACCGCAAAGATAAACTACGCACCCCCGAACGCTTATTCTCCGCCTAAATTTAGCACTAGCGGTGCAAACCAAAAGCCGAAGTTTCAGAAAAAAATAATAGTGTTGTTTGTGTATGTTTATACAGTTTAAAACTTAGTCTACCTCAACGGGCAACTTGTCTCCCAGCTGTACATGAGCAATTTAGCCAGTGCAGTACAACCGGTAGCCATGGGATCTTTAACGTGCATCACGCAGTAGTGATACACGATCGCACGCCGGTACGATATGCCCATCCAGATCGAAACAGACAGGGGTGGGGATCGAGAAGTTTCAGAAGTAACTGTGATCTCAGTCAAAAGTTATAAGTGAATTTCTGAAAATGTCGATGGAAAAATGGGCCCGTTTTTGCCAGTTTTTCCGATTGAGCCGGCCGACGGCCATATGCCGTCGTCCGTTACTTACCACTGAAAATTTCAGAAAACCGACTGTAACTTTTGAACGAGATAACGGTTACTTCTGAAACTTTAGCATCTGGTTCGGGCCGCTACATTTGGGCGTCAAAAGAACGTTTCGTAATACATAGCTTACTTTGCAGGTAAAAAAAAAATATATATATATATTTTTTTACACTTTTTACATGAATTGCTTTTTCCCGACGGTATATGCTCACGCGCAAGTCACTCGAGCCTACAAAGACTTGGTAATCTGTATTTTCTAGAGAATCCGGTCTCGCCGAACGTTTGTGACCCGCGATCCGTAGACGAGCATAACAGTATATTTTGTCCCAAAGAGTTACTTCTTATACTCCGTTTCACTTTAAGTCCGACCGCGACCGCCGCGCGCTATCCAGTAGATCCAATCAAGCGGCGCCAAAAGCGCATCATCGATCGTCCCTGCGCTAATCCCCTTTGTGCGTCGATGCGCATTCACTGTATACAGTGGATGCGCATCGACGCTGCGCTTTTTCTTTTCTGCGCGTCATTTGGTTTAGCTGGTGGGACTGAACTCACAAAAAACCACGAGGACCGTGACGATGCACTTTTGCTGCTGCTTGACTGGCTCTTTCTGATTGTGACGTCGGCATCGGCCGGAACAGTGAAACGGAGAAAAGAAACCCTGATTTCTTTAAATGTACGTTATGTCACCGAAAGCAACCAAATTGAAGTAACCTAATGGCGGCGAGTGCGCCAGTGCCCTCTATCCGCCGGTGAGGCAACTACTGATATAAAGAGGTCTGTAGACAACATTTTCGGGGATCAATTATGTAAAACCATGCATTTTTGTCTCGTTATTCTCTACTACTCTCATACAAATTTTTTTTTGTTTTTTAACATGACATTAATGTATTTAGCAGTTTGACCGCGGCTGAGATGGCAACGAATTGCGTCACCGGCGCTGTATTGTAGTAGGCTGGATCTCGGATCGCGAGCCCGTTGGTGGCACCACCGCCGGCCATTGCTTGACGCCAGGCACTGCACGCAAGTCTATGGGAGAAATACACTAAAGTGGGAATATTGAGGCTTGCATGCTGTGCTTGAAGGCGAGTAATTTATGGTGTGCTGCGACCATTATGTCAGGTGTTTAGAGATCGAATCGGAATTTGTCATGCGTCCGAATGCCGATTAAAAAAACAAATCAAACGTACCGGAGCACCCACGGCTGAGCTGGTAAGCTTGCTCTTGTAGTGCAGTAAACAAAGGAACTTGCCGTCAATAAGACCGTCCTCGGGGAAGCCCAGAAGTTGATGAATGTCGAAAAAGTTCCATGTCGACAGCGGCCTTCCGGGAGTGCGCGAATTCCGCGTAGCAAAACTTTCAAGCTTGTCGTCTGCTAATCCCAAATCAATAGAAGCCACCACCGACTCCGCGGTAACTCTAGGTAACTCTCGTCTCATTGAGCTGCACTACATATTTCGCCCAGCGGAGTCCCTCTCCACCACAAAACATTTATTTACGATAACTGTGAAGGCTGTAAGTTTTAATATTTGTTCACAAGCTATTTGGCAGGCTTCACAAAAAGCAGCCGGAAAGTTTCACTCCCGACCACAGCTTAGAAACTGAGGAAACGACACTTCTTCTCGTTTCTCCCATATAGTCCTATGCATTAGCTAATGTCCAGTGATGGCTGCCGGTGGTGCCACTCGACTCTAGCAATACAATCCTCGATCCACGATGCAGCCTACTACAGTAGAGATCAGTGATCACAGGTACCAGCGTGTCTTGTCGTCGGATGTCAGGACACTTACAGTTGGTCGTAAAAATGGCGACGAAAAAGGCGAGCGTATACGCAGGGGTCTCGCTGTCATCGCGGCGTCCCATCTCGTGTCTGCTTTGGTTTCAGACGTTTGTCTGGCTGCAAAGCGACCTGCAGAGGGACTGCCGTCTGCCGCATATCCACCACTATAGCATCGCAGAAGGCAACGCGCCATGGTACAGAGAGCCTATAGATTTAAGAGAAGTCCGGAGCAACTCGAGACGCGGAGATCGTTTACAATTTAATGGCGGACGCCTTTTATGATGACCGGTCCCAGAGTGCGCATGCGTTGCGTTGTCGCGTGACGAGGAAGAAAGCGGTCGGAAAGGCGGAGACGCTTGGCGACAAGCTACGCTTTGGGTCACCTCCACGCGGCTCGTATTGCAAACGCGGCACATAAAAGACGTGAACCCACGTCTTTTATGTGCCGAGTTGTTTCAAACACTCTGTTTTCTTCGCACATATAGCGTAACAGTTTTATGACGTCATAAGACGAAAATTGAGGACCTCTTTTGAGAGGTCCTCGATTTTTGCATTGTGACAGGACGGTTGTATAAAAAGGCGCTTCAAGCAGTGTCTACAGTATCTTTGAAGTAGTAACTGCCTGAGCGCGGCTTAATGAATTACGCTGCGAATCTTTACCTCCAGCACTGTTCGACCAACGCTGCGAACCTTTACCTCCAGCGCTGTTCGACCAACTTCAAAGACGCACAGGACGTCTTCAACCTCGAGAACCACGGCAGGGTGAGGGAAGTGGGCTCCCAGGCCGTCTGGTCCGTGTCCTCCGGCAGGCGTGGCCATGGCGTGAGTCAGCTTCGGGACGGCGACCTGGACACGTTCTGGCAGTCGGACGGCGAGCTGCCGCACCGGATCGACGTCCAGTTCGGTCGCAGACTGAGCATCCAGGCTGTCCTCATCAACGTCTGCCACGACCTGGACGAAAACTTCACGCCCAACGTGGTCTCGGTGAGCGCGGGGAATGACCCTCACGACATGCGGACGGTGGGCGGCGTCAGCATGACACGTCCTTCCGGTTGGGTCCTCATCGAGACGGAAGACTCCGAGGAACGTCCTCCACGAGCGTTTTGTCTCCGACTGTACGTCCATATCAATCATCAGTTTGGGATGGACAGTCGCGTGAGGCAGATGAAGGTATACACGCCTGCTCAAGAAACTGTGGTTAGCACGCTCCCTGAGGAGGTGACCTTCAGCAGTCTGGAGTGTCGAATGTTCAGCCGGATTCGTTGATGCGTCGGACGCCATCTTTCTCGGAAGTCTCGTTAAGTGGACAATCACCAGTTTTGGAGGGCTTGCATGAGGCAGAGGAATATATATCCGCCTGCTGAAATGACTGTGATCCATATGCGCCCTGAGGAGGTGACCTTCAGCAGTCGGGAGTGTCGGATCTTCAGGCCAATTCGTTGACGCGTCGGACGCCATCTTTCTTGGAAACGTGTTAAGCGAACAATCGCCAGTTGGAGAGAGAGCCGCGTGAGACAAATGAAGATCCACACGTCCATTCAAAAGACTCTGATTCACGGTGGAAGATGAGAGAAGTGCCTGAACAAGGCCAGCCAAGTCCGCGAAAGTTTCCTTGGGCTTCGCGCTTCTTCTTGCAGGTGCCCTGTCGGTTAACGGCCCTCCGCGCATGCGCGGACGCGCGCCGCACGGCCCAAACGTGTGCGCGAATAGGTGCGGTTCCTTGAGTGCCTCTCACCCACTAAGTGCCTCTAGACATTCTGCCCATTAAAATGCCTCTAGACATGATGTGCCATCTTCCGGCGTTCGACAGAAATGCGAGCGAACTTTTGCCACACTTGCTCCCTGGCGAGGCGGTACCGTTCAGACACCTCTCTCTGCCTCCACCGTGCCGTGGTCGTTACGCATCCGGAGGTAGTGGCCTTCAGCAGCCTGTTTCGTCTGATATTAGCCGAATTCGTTGACGCGTCGGACACCATCCTTGTCGGAAGCGTCGTTTGGCGAACGGAACTTGAGATATTTTGCTTGTCTTGTTTTTTTCTTGTGTGTGTGTGAACATGCAGACTCTCTATTGATCGAGAGTTTTTAAATATCTTGTTCAAAGTTCTCGGTGTTCGTGTTCCTCTCTAGCGCTGGCCCACAAAACTTCGATGCAAATGATTTCGACGCTAAAACGACATACCGTGCGCCCAGAACACGCATCGTTGTCGTCGTTGTCGCCGCTTTGTGAGCGTTTATATATCGTCCATATTTCCGCCGGCACTGGACGAGCGTGGCCCGCATATTCAAGCATCACCACCGCGTTTCATTTTATTTTCCTGCCTTGGAATAGACCTGAACGTGGAACATGTTCAAGCTTCCGGGTCGAACGAAAGCAGGTATTCACTCAAAATGTTTTGTAAAACCAAAATTGCAAAAGTTTTTCTTTATTTTTTTTACCCCCGAAGAGAGATACAAAAATCTACGTAAAAACATAGTTCCCTGACCATGAAATTTAATCACCGTATTTTTTTTTTTTAATTTAAACGGTGGGCTGCTGCGCTACATAAAACGTTTTATTCTCTGTTTTTTTTTCCTTTGCGAAAGTATTTTAAATTAGAATTTTTGTGAGTTATTTTTCCCCTCCGTGCGCGGTCAACAAAAACACAATAATAATAATACTAATATTATTATTTTTTAACTTCGTAGCGTTCGCGTGTGGTCATTCATGCGTATTGTGCGGTTTTTTTAATATTTAATTTTGAGGCTGTTTTTCTGAGTAACTGCATTCGGTGGACAGCAACGTTAATAATAAAGTAACAAAGAATCGCAGCGCCCAGATCGTTCCGTCGCAACATTGCATAAACGCAGCTCCCTTCATACGTAAACCTCAGGGGGAAAAAAGCAAAAAAAAAACGACATAGAAGTTTTTAAATAGAAAGCTTCAAGTACAAAAAAAAAAATATGCACCGAAAAATATTTTTCGTTTTCGTTAGTAAGCTTTTTGTCTCTCTTTTTTTTATCCCAAGGTTATATAAAGGTTTGGGATAGTTTTGGGATGTTTGAGATGATTGATTCGTCTTATTTCTGCTGTCTAAATGTACGCGGACATACAATGCAATAACGATTCTTCTCGTCGTTGGAGCGCCATAAGGCGTCACAGTCGAGTGATGGTTGAACAGAGCTCTTGGGCAACGAAGAACGCCAAACAGACCAGTTTTCGGCTGGATTAAACGTGCATTTGACGTGACTCCTTTCCGTTTCACGCGTATTGCACAACGCTGAAGAACCTGCTGGTACGGGCGCACGGCTTGACAGAATGCCCCACGATCCAATGACTTTAGCTTCCTCCCAAGGGTCCTCTTAAAGAACGTCACTGGATCGCGGGAATCGAATTTCCGTTTGCTCACGGAGCAAATCCAGCGCTCTGATTGGCCTATTTTGAACGTTCTGCTCTCTCGCGAGCAAGAGACGGCAGTGACCTTTTCGCGTTCGTTGCTCACTCGAAAAAAAAAACCCGTGAGTCTGCTTTCCCGCACAACACTCGGAGAGCCAATCACCGCAGCCTACGGAAGCAGCTGAGCGAATGACAATGCCGAAACATATGTTTAGACCAAAAAACGCAGTCAGAGTTGTGACATTAAGCAATGCAAACGTGACGTTTTGCATTGCTTAATGTCACAACTCAGACTGCGTTCTTTTTGGTCTGTGCATACGTTTCGGCATTGTCATTCGCTGAGCTGCTTCCGTAGGGTGCGGTGATTGGCTCTCCGAGTGTTTTGCGTGAAAGTAGGCGCACAAGCGTTTTTTAGAGTGCTTCCTGTTTGAGATAAGAGGACAGCTCTCACCGAGGATGACAGTATCACTGGGGCACCTGGTAACCCACCCGACCCCCCTCGTTCAAGCCGCTTCGCGGCGACGGTCGGCGGCGGCACGTTACAGGGCGACACAAGTGGTGCGGCTGAACGATAGCTGTATGGCGGTAAACAAAAGGCTCACTGGGGAGCGTGTTAACCCACCCGACCCCTCTCGTTCCCGACGCTTCGCGGCGACAGTGTGGGGCGGCAGGTTACAAGGCGACACGTTGGGACACAGCGCGCGGTAACTGTTGTGCCGTAAAGAAAAGGAGGCTATAGTTTTGGCGGCGACTATGAACCCCCAACACCGCGTAGTAGGGCACTAAACGCGTCTCGTGCCTAATCCGCATGTGGAAGCCAAACGCGAAGATAGTGGCGTTGGTTCCCGATAGGGCCGCAAGCAGCCCACCTAAGTGAGCAGCGAGCCAGCATGCCCAAATCTCTCGAGGCGGAATTTGTGTACGCGTTAAACACTGGCGAGCGTTCTAACCCGCCGGTGGCACGCGCATTTATGACGCGATTAAAACAAAAAGGCCAATCAGGGGCCCGGGATTCGCCTCATGGTGTTACTCCGCGTGAGCCAGCAGCTGTATACGATTCCGGGAAAGTAGCGCCGAGTTCCCCGTATTTGGTCGCCATTTGGGTCTATGGAGTGAGCATGCAGTTCCTCCTTGACCTCTGCATTCTTGGTGAACCGATCCGAATTCCCAGTGACAAGTTGCTCTATAACGACATTTCTTATATGCCGAGGTTTTGTTATACGAACGCAGGCAAAACAAGCACACGTCTTTGCACCGTGCACCTCAAGCGTCGTCGGAGCTTGAGGTACTAAAACATTTTTTCTGCCTTAAAAAAAAAAAAAAAAAAAAACGCAAGAACAACAATGCCGTTGTAGGAGACTATGTGGAGATGAGCATGATTCATATTTTGATTTCATGGACTGTGCTAAAGGCGTTTTGTATTGGCGAGGAACACTTTCAGTACGATGAAGCTTCATAGCGATCTTCCAGAACAACACTTTCGAAGATTTGAAGGAACCGAAATGGCCAATGCCGTGGCAACTGAGACCAATATCAGCTAATCATTTTGCGAGGTTTTGTTGGTATGTATTTTCGTATCTGTATGTGTCCGGCTATCAGACAGGGATCGAAGGCAATGGCGCTACCTTCCAAACGTTGTTCTCTCCCTCTCTAGCTCTCTATTTCTCTCTAATGATACCGAATATTCATCTACAAAAGTGAACAAAAGAATAGTTTCTGCTTACACGATTTCCTTTTGTGCCGCAGACGCAATTTTCTTCTTCATTGTATTCAATAGTGAATACGATGCCTTTGTAATATGATTTTCAAGTTTTTGCTTTGTTACGGTCCACTCAATTACTGTCTGTGTCCGGCTAGCAGACAGGGATCAAAGGCAATGGCCCTGGCTTCCCCCGCAAATGTTGTTCTTTCCCTCTCAATCGCTTTCTCTCTAATGATACCGAATATTCATCTGCAAACGTGGACAAAAGAATAGTTTCTGTTTATACAATTTCTTTTATGCCGCAGACACCAGTTTTTTTTAATTGTTGTATTGAATAGTGATTATGATGTCTTTGTAATATGGCTTCCAAGTTTTTGCTTTGTTACGAGCGGCTCCATAAGGTACACTTACAGCATGGTCACTGGAACGCGTCTTCGACAGGTGTGTTCACAAGGTCCAGAAAAGTAATCCCTCGATTGCCGCGTGACGACGTCATAGAAGATTCATGCTGTCGCCGGCCGCGACCCTGGCGGTGTCCCAGCAGCTGTGGTGGAGGTAGCAGACGCCTGTTCTGCTCCAGGTCGCTCTCTGACTTCATATGTCCACGGAAGCTCCAGCAGCCACGAGTTGAGACGCCGTGACAACGGCGGCGCTCGCGTTAGCTGGTGCTTTCTGCCGGAACTTCTACGACCAACCGCCAGGATCGCGACATCCGACAGCGTGACACTCCGGCTTTTGTGACGTCATTTTGTCGCCACTTTGGGACCACTTTCGATGCGTGGGTGGAATGCGGAGAACAAGTCGTCTGATCTTCCCGCAGGAGTTGCGATGACGTCAGAACGACGCCGAGCGCTTATTGGCCGAGTGAAAAAAATAGTGGGTAGATCTCAATGCAAGATACTTTGAGGTCTACCCACTATTTTTCTTCAATCAGCCAATCAGAGCTCGGCATCGTTCTGACATCACCGCAACTGCTGCGCAAGAAGCAAACGACTTGCTCTCCGCGTAGGACGCTAAACACACCAGTCGGAAACTCGTTCGAGGCACCGTATCATGATGAACGCTTTGCAACAGGTGTGCATGGGCGTCGCCATAACCGACCTTAAGTTTTTGTTTCCTTTCTTTCCGTTCATTTCACTTTACTACTGCCATAGCAGGAAAGGTCATTGCCAGCTTAGATTCTATAGTGTC